CAACTACCGATCCGGCTTCCAGCTATCAAGCTTTCTTTATACGTGACACCGTCCATGACGGCACCGTCATGCCACCGAACAAGGTATTCCAGCAGACATGGACACTCTACAACCCTGGACCACTTGCATGGCCCGCTGGAGGTAGTGTGCGCTTCGTGGGCGGTGATTCCATGTTCAATGTCGATATCAATCGCCCCATGGGTCTTGACGCAGTCTCCGCCGCTATGGAGAGCAACCAGCTCCTCGAACCCTTGGAGCCTGGCCAAAGCGCCGATTTCACTGTGACTCTGAAGGCCCCGAGTCGGGTGGGTACTGCCATCTCGTATTGGCGCTTGAAGCTTGCCAACGGCATGCCCTTCGGTCATAGACTCTGGTGCGATATTCAGGTACGGGACTCCCTGGCCGCGTCCACCAAGTTGGAGCCTGTACAGGAGGTCCCTCGCGAACCCGAGCAACGGGCAGAGGCGGCTCCGGTCGATGACACTGAACACACGGGAAGTCAAATGATCTTCCCTACGCTGGACAAGGAGTCACCGGTCGGGAGCACCCACCAGGCAATGGTTGAAGCTCCTTTGACTGCCCCTTCCGTGTCCAATCCATCCGAGCAAGATGTGCTTGAGGACGTGGAGAGTCTAACCTTGGATGACGCCAACACCGAGACCGGGTTTCTGACTGATGAAGAGTACGATGTCCTGGATGCCAGCGACCAAGACTACCTGGAAGCCCAATCACAGGTCTAAAGTCAGTATCTGCATGCTTTGGGTCTGCTAGCAAGGCCCTTGTTTTTTTTTCAACTCGACCACATGGGCGTAATGGGAGGGGACGGCGAAGGATGCATGTATCGAGCTTCTCATCTCTTTTCAACATAATTGTGTAGAATCACATGCGATGAGGCGATGCTGCAACATTTTTGGGAATTTGATTATTTTAAAATGGCTATTCGAAGAATGAACGGAATGGGACAACTGGGGGTACTCTTCTCACTTGATGTGTTTATCTGAGCTCAGATTTCTAACAAGATCATTTCTCCAACTGTCGCCCAAATTGTTGTAGCCATGAAATTTGCTTTTTCCGACACTGGTGAGAGAATAATTGTAAGGGAAAGCTGTGCTCGGTTCTGTTCGGCAACTCGACATTGGCCGGGGTACTATGTCTCCAGATGCAGAGAGTCCATACGCCATAGCTCCAACGAGGATCTTCAGCTTCTTCTCCACTCTCTGATGAAGATCCGTTGCTCCATGACTGACTGACCAATCGAAAGACCATAATTCATGGAGCTATCCAAATGCCGCCATGTTAGCGCTTACTATGTGGGACTATTCACCACTACTATCTAGATACTCCGTAGTCTACTGCTTCATTCCTTCCCCGCCCTTCGGCCCCTTCCACAGTGAGCACAGGTGGAGGTATCACATAATCACATTCTCAGCTATGCTCTCTTTTCTCCTCCTGCCTTTGTCTCCTTGCATCAACCTGTTGTATAAATGCGAGAAAAGACAGGCACAGGCTTATATATCGCTTTCATCTCGCAGTCTCCATAGACTGAACTAACAGACAAACCAGGAGTACGGAGAAAGGCGACAACGAGACCGTCACAATGGCTGGCTTCGTTCCTCTTGCTCTTTTTGCCGTCCTGGCTGCGACTCTGTATGGCCCTGTGTATCAGCAGCTCACCATCCTGGGGATCTTCCGGCGTCCGGTTCCTCTGGTGATTGTCGAAGGACAAGGTTACCACAAGATTGCTGATACGATGCAATGTGAAGATCTGCACTACTGGCAGCCTACGAACAAAATATTTACAGCGTGTGAGGATTCGGTCTTGCCACGCTTCAAGTGGTTCCCTCCGTTGGGGAACCTCGAGGAGCCCGCTGTCGCATCTACCGGCTCAATTCATGTCATCGATCCCAAGGTACTGCTTTCTTCCTCTCCAACTGGCTTGGGTTATCTCGTTGATCTGTTGATTAGACAATGAAGTCAACCCGGCTCTCATTTGAGAACTTCTCAGGTCCGTTTGTGACACATGGGATCGACATCATTGAGGACCCGGAGGATCCCAATGCTGTGTATATCTTTGCTGTGAATCATCTGCCGAATCCGGAATATACACAGGACGGCAAAGATGTTCCCCAGGCGCGATCTCAAGTCGAGCTCTTCCACCATGTTTTGGAATCAAGCACCATTGAACATGTTCGTTCCATTCAGCACCCGCTGATCGCTACACCCAACGACATATATGCAGAGAGTCCGAATTCTTTCTACGTGACCAATGATCATTACTACCGCGAGGGATACGGACGCCTGATTGAGGATGTTATCCCGGCAGCCAAGTGGTCGAGCATCATTCATGTACAGATCCAAGATCTGAAGTCCAAGGAAGCCGACAGAGGCATCGACGCCACGGTGGCTTTGACCGGGTTGCACAACAATAACGGACTTGGTCATGGTAGATCTAAGGACGAGATGCTCATCGTCAGTTGCATGGGCGGGACTCTGTATCGCGCTCGTTCAAACAGTGGCAACCGCACGATATCTATCATCGATGAGATTCGTCCAGGTGGCCAAATCGACAATCCCACTTACTACTCGGACCCGTATCGTACTGCTGCAGACGATGCCAGCGGTTACGTTCTGGCGGGACTGACACGTCCGATTGACCTGTCTAAAAATCACAATGATCCGAACGGTAAAGATGGAGCCATTGTATGGTATGTGCGGCCCAAGACAGGCACGAGTCGGGATGGGGAGCAACCCACACAATGGGAGTCGAGTGTTCTTTTCGAGGATGATGGCACTCTCATTCGGACTGCTAGCACCGGGCTCTTGGTTCCTAGAGAAACAAAACTTGGAGAGGGAAAGAAGGCATGGTTGTTTGTGACTGGGTTCGTCTCAGAGAGCGTCATTGCCATTGAGGTTGATCTTTGAAGCAAGTCTCTTGTATAGACAGCTTGAAGTCTTATCTCTATATCTCAGAATTATCCCATGTGTCGATGACCAGAATGACAGTCATAGCTGATATTACATCTCTATCCCTAGCTGTAGGGAACTTTTCAATAATTTAAATGTAACAACATGTTTGTAGCCTAGAAAATTATTATTGTTGTGATGAATGATGCCTTGCAGCCGTGGTGCTTGGACCAGATCCTGCCTGAGGCACCCAATTATTTCCCATGTGTCAACATTCGGACTGTCACCGCCAGCAGCATCTCAAACACGCCAACGCTTCGCCACTTTCTTCCTCAAGCTTGCCAATATGTCTCTGGTCTGAGGTGCTTTAACCATGCCATCGACCTTTTCCACTCACACAGCCCTGCGTATGCGGGGCAATTGCCCAGCCATCACCTCCATGGCATCATCCCTGGTCCAGCATCAGCACCTCCGCCATCAACCTGCCGCCATTCGCAATTGCTATAGCCTTTTGACTCGTGGCTACGCCAGCCCATCATCGTCACCGAAATCACATACACGATCCCCATCGTCTTCCCAGCCGGGCTCCCCCATTGTCCCATCCACCTCCTCGACCGCGACCACTTCTCTCGCCAACGATGTCAACCCTCCGCCGAGCACCCGGCCAGCAGACCTCAACCTCCCAGAGCCAGTGTCCGCGTCGGCCGGACCGGCCGACAAGCTGAAACGCTACGTCGCGCTGGGCCGCGCCTACCTGTCCTTCTACAAGACGGGCCTCAAAAACGTCTACCACAACTACCGCGCCTCGCTTCCCCTCCGCCGCTCGCTGGGTCTACCCGTCTACCTCCCCATCTCGCCGCCCCCAGCACCCTCTACCTCCACTTCCACCGCCGGCGGCAAAACCACACCTTTCCGCACAGCCGTGCAATCCCAAAACCTCAGCCGCGCCAACTTCCAGCTCGTCCGCCGCGCCGCCTACGACGTCCGCCGCATGATCCCCTTCACCCTCATCCTGATCATCTGCGGCGAGCTGACCCCGCTCGCCGTCCTGGCCCTCGGCAACGCCGTCACCCCCTTCACCTGCCGCGTCCCGCAGCAGATCAAGAAGGCGCGGCTGCAGCGCGCAGATCGGAAACGCGCCGCCCTCGCCGCCCACCAGGCGCAGGCGCAAGGCTCCGTTGCGGGCCCCGCGGCCGGATCGGACGCTGAGCACGAGCTGCTGGCCCGCGAGTTTGCACACGCCGACTGGGTCGAGAAGGCGTCGGCGCAGGAGATTCTGCAGGCTTGTGCGGCGTTGGGGCTGGTGCGGACACATACCCGGCCCCCGGCGTTGGTGTCCTGGTTGTATCGGCCGCGGCTGCGGCGGTATGTCGAGTACCTGGCGCTGGATGATGAGTTGATCCGGCAGGGGGGAGGGGTCCCGGCCATGGAGGCGGCGGAGGTCAGTATTGCGGTTGAGGAGCGAGGGGGCGTGGGTGTTGCGGACGGCAAGGAGTGTTGGGAGGCAGAGAGGGAGGAGAGACGGTGGTTGGAACGATGGCTGGAAAGGGCTTAAGGCTTGCAAGTGTATTTATCTACTGATGTACATTACTTGGGATAGATATCTAGACCTCTGGCGCATGATATGGACTAGAACCGAAAGACGTCTTTGCGGTTCGTGATTACTCAAACACAGCACGGATCGAATGGCAAGCCCATCGTTTGCATGGCTTGATTGGTTCCTATAGAAACGTAATTATCCCAGACCAAATTGTGGGCTGGCGTTGCCCTTGGAATGTCGTAACTTTTCGGCTGCTTCTGTTTCTTCCAGCCGGTTCGCCCCGAAAATACATGTGTCGTACTGTACACTCATCATAAGTCATATCGTTATTGAGAGTTCATCTACCTTCGTGCCCCAAACCGAGCGAATCCGATCGTATAGTGTAGTTGTTATATATGGCCCGTCGACGCCTATGCCTGCTGAAACCCTTGAAAGACCATCGGTTTCAAAGATACCGCACGAAAGTCAAGAAAACGAAACGAGACAGACAGAACGCTTGCAATTGAGGTTCGTGATAAATCGCATGACAAGAACGAAGTTGTAGTGAAAAGCAAGTCTAAGTGGCTGGGGCTTTTTTCTGTATGGCATTGCGGACCTGCTTGGCCCATCGTAGCCCACAGCTGTTGCAAAGATCGCGATTGCCACTGGGCCCTCTGCGCCATTCGGGCGTGGTCCGGGTCTGGCACATGGCGCAGGTCTTTTCGACGGGAACAATGCTCTGCTTTCTCTTGCGCTTCTTCCTCCGCGCAAGGAGCCGCTGGACCTCGTCGGATAGGGCGCGGTTCTGTTTCTCCAGTTCGCGGAGCTCGAATTGCCAGCTTGAACCTCGTGCCGTGTTCAACTCGGCGAACAGTATTGGTTCATCGAGAGCCGGCACGTATTGGTCACCGGATGAACCCACTGCCGACTCGTCGGAAGTCGGTTGGCCTGCCGCAGTGACGTTTCTTCTTCCTGTTACACTAGTGTCCCCTCGACGTGCAGCGGTGATATTCGTAGGTACAACCTCTTCCGTCCCGGGAGCTGTCTGCGGTGATTTGGGAAAACGCAGCTGCGCGACCAAGAATGACGGTTTCTCCCCTTCCTTGGTGTCTCCAGGGTACAATGTGGTTTGGGCCTGTAACATGTGACCCTTTTTGTGCCGTATTTTATGGTTAAAGCTCGCCTGCTGGCCAGTCCGAGTCACCTCTAAAGCCTGTTTTGCATCCTCCCGGGCATCGGCTGGGATCAGGTCCTGAATGCCTTTACCGACCAGATCATCGGGCACTCGGCCGAGCACTGGCCGAGCCTTGGAGGACATGAAGAGAATGATGCCAGAAATCGAGAGCTTGGCCCACAGATCGTTCTCGGCTAACCAGCCATCGCCAAAGTTTGCGAGCTGGTCCAGGTGATACACGGGACAGACCCGGCCGGTCATCACCATATATTGCCGGCCACGGTCGCCGATGTGCCACGAGCCGTGACTTTCAAACCACATGTACCCGCTATACTTTGTCCGGACGCGGTACATGACACTGACCGGGTCGGAGTTGGTGCAGGATCGGAGATCGCGTATGACAGGACCGATATCACTGGGATGGCAGATCGTCGATAGTGTCTTGCCAATCAACTCATTTGAATCGTACTCGAGAACATTTCGACAAGATGGAGATAGGTACAGCAATTCACTCTCGAAAGAGAGTACATGAATGACATCGTCGGTGTTCTCGACTAGAACGCGGTCCAGATACTGCTGGTAGCTTTGGTCAGGAGTGCCCAAGCTGTCCAATATCGTCGAGACCTGGTCGTGACTAAAATATGTGGCAAGGTCCGGATGCAACTTATAGATGTCCGGGGGAGGCGCCACGTAAATAGGCAGCTGCTTCCGCTGGTAGTTAATCATGTAAGTACCATCTGTCACATTTGGTCAGTCAGGTCATCAAGTCCAAACGAGAGCATCCAGAACATACCTGGATTTCTCATTTTGATGGCATCGGGCTTTTCCACGAGATCGACCTGGAACCCGACATAAAATCGGTAATCGGGCGAATTCCACCGGACAGGAATCATTGTGATCAGGTTCATAAATGGCTGACCGCCCTTTCTGTAGTTAATGATGGTGGCCTGGATCTCTCCACGGTGCTCTATTGTAGACCGCAATCGATATGCCGTATGTTGATCGACGAACTTTCGGGGCATGCCCTGCTGAACCACACCACTGGGGTCCTGAAGAAAACGACAATTCTGGCCAACAATCTCCCCCTCAGTGTAACCGGTCAGCCGCACAAAAGCCTCCGATACATAAATGATAGGATGATCCTCCTGGTGGATGTCGCACAATGCAAATGCACATGACAAATCAACAGCGCCGATATCAATCTTGGGGTCGGGTCTTGAGACGACCTCGGCCTGGCTGAGGTTAGCTTGTACATATGGTAGCATTCAAGCCGTCGGATTGGCAAGACGGGATGATCTCACCAATATACTCATCATGTCAATGCCGCTGCTCGAATATATGCTGTTATAAGGAGTGATCTCACCAGTGGTCGCCGACTTGATTGAAGCTGTGAAATCCCATGTCAGTCAACAGTCTGTTCATGCACGACACAAAAACACAGTAAAAAGAAGACGCACTTTTCATGGGCGATGGCCTCTTGGGCTGAATGTAACGGTGAGAAGAAACTTGTGTTGTAGGGGCTTGAAGATGCTGGCGTCGCCTGTGCGGTAACTGCTGGTTCCGTGAAGAATCGGTCGATTTCGAAGCGTTGGTTGATCTGCGGGCCATGGACGTGGCCTGGGCCATATTGGTGGTTTCTTTCGCATCAACCGAGGATGTCCAGAAGGAGCTGCTGCTCGATGGATCTGCTTGCAAGGTAGAAGAGTAGGATGCAGTTGGGTCTAGGCTCATGGTCTGGTTCTGAAGCGAAGGAAGCTGATGCATCGGCTGCCCATTGAAAGTCTGTTCAAACATCAAGGAGGGTTGTTGGTATACGGAAGAAGGGTCGTATGCAAATGCACTTGCTGTATCCAGTGCCACGGGCACGGAGTTCCCCATGCCAGAGAGCGGGTCATACGCGAACAACGCATTGGACAGACGGTCAGACAACGGCGCAGGGGCCGCGGGGAGAGACGAGCTAGAAGCCAGCAGCTCGTCGGCTGACATGCTGCTCAACAGCATATCTGATCCATGCGATTCAGAGAAAGGAAAGTCCCCCATTCGGAAGGGATCCAACGGCGCAAATGTCATCATCATCTCGTCGTTGCTACAGTCAAGGGCGGGATGAGAGGTGTTGGACTGGCTACTAGAGGTCGTGGGAGCCATGGGGAATGAGGTATTGCCGTAGTAGTCGCCATCATTGATGTTGTTGGCCATCTCAAGACGTAAGGCGACGTTCGATCGATTCGATGGGGGTGTGTCCTGGCCAATGAGCGGATCGCATCTACACAGGATGCCTCGAAAACTAGCCCACGATAGTAGACATTCCTCCAGGGGTCAATGATTGGTAGCCCTGTAAGTGGATCCAGAAGGTTCTGCCTGAATCCAGCAGCAGAAGGTCCAAAATTATAGACGATGTACAGACGAGACAGTGCAACTGTGGAGTTGCTGGGAATCTGGGAGTAGATTAGTTCCCTTGTGCACTAAAAGAAGCAAAGCGGAGTCCTACTCAGATGAGGGCCATGACAATATCAAGAATCATGGAAGGAAATGAAGAAAAGAATTACCTTGAAGATTCAACAGTAAAATTGGCTATACAATAGTAACCGCACAGAACAGAGGAGCAGCAGATGAAAGATATGCGGAGTACCTATATCACTGAGATGAAGCGATGAAGCGACCGTCCAGACGAAATGCTCAGCGCTGGATGGACGGATGTAGATTCCGTGATTTTCATCGAATAAGACTGAGGGGCGAGTACATATGTTGAGGCAGTATGAGGGTTCATTCTGTTTCTGTGAACAGAATGACTGCAGACTGCCAATGAGCAGAGAGACGGAGACATTGAACTCAATTGATCAACTTGACGTGTCGACTTCGAGTGTGACAGATCAGTTGATGAGGCAAAAGAGGCTCATGGAGGCAAAATCTCATGTATCTTGATATTCCAAAAGGAAAACAACGAGTCCCCAGAACTCTTCAGGGACCAGTTGAGGTTGAAGTTACCGAGAGGATGTAACTTATGAAAGCTTAAGCGATCATTGATTGATGCTTTGTTACAAGCTTCTTGTAGTCTGCACCCAATCTCCAACTGGTGGAACTCAATATGTACTATCAGGACATCCCCAGATTTTCCGAGTCAGCTTATTGAATAGACTACTCGTATGCAACAGCATATTCTCCCCCATATTTATTTTATATAAGATTATCCTACGTATGATCCTGATAAGATAAGTGGAAATTGCAGATGGCCATCACACACCGAAAGGGGAACTTTGGCGTCGCGCCGTCTCTGGCGGCGTCTCTCCTTTTGATCGCTCGTCTCAGGAGTCGAGTCCAGGTCTCTGTTGCAACAAAAGAAGCTTCAATGCGAATATTCATTAAGTTTGGCTCTCTCTCTCTCTCAATTATCGGTCCATAGCGATTGCGATTCTATTACCTCCTCTTTTTGCCCATAGCCCAGACGGCCTTCCGTCAAAATACTTGATGTATCACGAAAATAAACGTCTCCTCTAGTGACGCATAAAAATTCACATCCAATTCGACATACAAGGAAAAACACAATGGCAGACGAAACAGACAAAATCTCCATTACAATTTGCGGCGATGGTGGATGCGGTATGTTTTTCCGCATTCTTGCCAGTGAAGATTTCTGAGATTCCGGGATTCTCTCGTCTGGACAACGAGAGGGACAGCTTTCATTATCGAGGAAGGTTGACACTGATCTGCCGTGATTGATAGGTAAATCATCCATCACTTTGCGACTGGTGCGGAGCCAATGGGTCAACGAGTGAGTATCCCCCTTAAAACAAAATCGCAACGTGCAAGAAAAAGGACTGACCCATCGCGACAACCTTAAAAGATACGACCCTACCATCGGTAAAGCAGTACCCGAACCCTGAACTCCCATTCTTCTTTCGTCTCGACGCGTGATCCTCTCTAACACCCATCTTGATTCCTCGGAGGACTAATAGAAGATTCTTATTCGGTAACACGCGTGATCGATGGCATTCCCTATTTCTTATCCATCACCGATACTGCCGGCCAGGAGGAGTATAGAGGGCTGTTTGCGCTGTCCAACCTGAGGTCTGACGCATTTCTGCTCGTCTACGACATCACCAATGCGTCGAGTTTAAGCGCATTAGATTACTTCATGGGTCTGATTGATATCGAGGCAGAGCAACGTGCGGAAGACAATGCTCGCTTATTGAAGGAACTGGGGGACAGCGCACGCGGTGTGGAAGTCGGCATGCCTCCTCCAGTCAAGATCATCGCCGGCAACAAGTGCGACCTAAAGGACAATCGCGTCATCAGTGCTAGGGAGGGACTGGAATATGCCCGCAAGCATGGTTGTGGGTTTATGGAAACAAGCGCGAGAGATATGGTGAACATTGAAGAGACATTTGCCCGTACGTAACTTGCCCTCTGGCAGTATCAAGGCTGCCCAGGTGAGACGGCCTATTGATCTGAAGCTATCGCAGTGATCGTCCGTCGTGTTACCGAAGCTCGTCGACTACATTACCAGCAGAACCAGGCGACGGCGAATCCTGGTCAGGCCGCAGCGTCTGCAACTGCGCGACAGCCTGCCGAGCAGACGGTCGATGAGACCATCGCTGCTAAGCCATCCAAAGATGCCAGGTCCCCGTTCAGCCGTCTTTCAATCTTCGGAAAGAAGAGCAGTAAGCGTGCTGCACCGAAGCCAGAAGATCAGACTGGCGAGTCCAAAGGTGAAGGGGTGGAATCGAAAGAGGAGCCCGGCAAACCAAGTATATGGAGACGCCTGCTTTGCTGCTGAATTTGACATCAAACATCCGTTCGATGGTATCATTCTTTATCTCTTTTCTTATCTTCTATTTTTCTTATACCCCGGTCATCCGCCTATTGACTGGCGATGCCTTTCTATTCTTGACCATGTATTCGGGATGGAGTCCTTGGACATATCCCCACCATTTCTTTGTTTTGTACATTATTGATAGGCCAGATGGACTCGATGTTTGTGCCAACGCAGCATCGGTCACGAAAGAATGAAGTCAGTCATCAATCAACCTCGGCATAAGCAGGGGCGACCAAGCAAGCTTAACTCCTGTGCAACTGTCACGCAACTCGAGCGATTTGGTGGGTCAAACGGCTTGTAGTTCCGATCAGGACAAGTCTACCCAAGGAGATAGGCACCTGGAGTCTGGCCAATTCAATGGTGGACATTCATCATCTATCTGACATCAACTTTCGATAAGATAAGCGTAAATCAGGGTCATTGATCGTCCTCGGCCAACAAGGTCATGTGGCAATTGAAAATAACAGGATATGCACATAGTGAGATAATCAAAAAAAAGGTGTCCGTATCATTGATCGTCACTGGGCTGATTGCAAAGCCAAAACTCTATCTCAGGAATATCCTGGACATGTGGCGCAGACATGAAGTCAGCATTCAGCTCTCAGCTCTAAGTAGGTAAGAAGGTCAAGAGGAAGTTGACTCTGATCAATGGGTCAGCTGCAATTGGCCGTTCCCAGACTCCAAGTAGGTTCTAGGTTGGTCCTCGGCGGAGTCAGATTACTGAGATAAACCTACCTCTCTAAGCGATGCTCATAGACAGTTTGGACTGTAAGGGGCATGGGCGAATCATCAACAGCAGTCATGACATGATCGATGATAGACTTCCATCATGATGTCAACGTCATTGACTGGAGACAACACTAAGGCGGCTTTGATATCCGCGAGAAAGAACTAGATGGGCAATAGAACGATAGAACATATATCATGATTAGGTAGATACAGGTCAAGCTAGAAGACACCTCGGCAAACAGCTCTCGGTCTCGTCAATTATCTTACCCCGTAGTATTATAGGGAAGAAACCATGTCCTGGAATTGTGCTCGCAATGAAGTGCATACTACGGATTATTTACTCCGAACAGGGATTAGAGCCGGTCTGCCGCTAAGCTTTTAAATGAGAAGTATCTGCATATCCAGGAGAGGGAGAACTCGTGACCGCGAACCGATGAATCAGCGGAAGACGCATCTAGTTGGTTGGTTCACTATGTGCTGATCACTGAAGCAGTTGAGAGTTGTTCTGGTGAGTAAAGAAACGATCGGCAGCCATGTGCCGAGAGGAAGACTCGAGAACAAGAAACCGCTTTATGAACGGTTTTAGATAATAATAATGCGATGTTTATGCGTCTACTCGGTCTTTGCAAATACTATTCAGCTTGATGGGTCCAGTATGCTGTAATGTTGATACAAGAGCGCTTAATGTACCTGAAGCTGAAGGAGTGTGATCATGACACAGTTAGGCAACATCAGGATCGTGAATTGATCCTGTCTGCTTCAACTCAGTGTCAATACCTTATATCCACTTCCCTAACAGAGAGAGGGTTGTGCGTCCTCGTTATCTGATAGTAGAGCTGATGATCAACCAGACTCGGATATACGGAATCGCTTTTACTGCGTCTTCCGAAAACTTTGTTTGGTTATGGATTGGCTACTGAGAAAGGGAACATGAAGGAAATAACAAATAAAATAATAAAAAATGAAGTGAAAGACAGAGAGAGCATGCCGAGACCAGTGAGACGAGCAAATGCCTGTAAGAGGAAATTTCAAATCAAGGAAACATTTGCCCGGGACATCTCCGAGGCCCGATTGAAGTCTCCGGTTCCGAATACTGTATCGTAACGGATATCAGATGTGCTGTACGTAAAATTTCCTGCAGTGTAAGGTAAAGTATCTTAGCATCTACCTTTAGGTATATTCTGTATTCCTCACACAAGATTCCTAATATGATTCGGTCATTTTGACGAAGGCATGGGATAGCTTTAGTTATTCAGTTTGTTTTGACCAAATATCAATCAATACTTAAGTAAGTGTGAATAGGTCGTACCGCAGCATCTAAGGTATGAACAGCTGCTCGTACAATACTCTGTATATACAACCGGTCCCCGAGGGCCGTGTGGTATTACATGTACTGCAAAGTTCAAAGAATCACCGAACACAGCTAGCCTTGATCCATATTTCCTCTTTGGGCATACTGGGCCCCTGCTGGGTCTCTTGGAGTCTTGGGCGCTGCGTCAAGTAGAACGGATACACTACTACCTTGCCTTGCCTTGCTGTAAGTAGATGTTCAACGCAGCTTCGGGATGGTCGTTGCCAATTGGTACCATCGAAGCTAATCACAAAAAGTAAATATTACTCATTTCCTTAGAAATTTCGAATAATCAAGAAATAT